GTTAGATATTGTACGGACAATGATCGACCTTAGACCTATTCCACACAAAAACTCCGCACGTCTGTGTTGATAACATAATTATCAATCTCTTACAAAATCAAACAGTGTAAATAGAACCGTACGTTTGTTGAGAAATTCACATCACGATCTGAATAAGTTCAGATTTCATATTAAATATCACCTTGAGGTTTTTAATAACTTTATAAGTGTGGTTTATGTGTTTGCAATTAAGTCAGTATCGGCGCTTTCAGTTTGTCAAGGGCGTGAATAATAAAAATGCGTGTTTGTTTAATTTATTGAAATAGTTTTTCAATTTGTTATACCAATATTGCGGTTACGACAACTGAAATTTATCTAACTAGCCGCGCTAGTCCGCGAGTTAAAAACAAAAGGGCGTTGTTTTAAAAAGTGAGTAGCCTATGTGCTCTTCCAGACTATACTCTACATCTGTACCAAATTTCATCGAAATCCGTTCAGCCGTTTAGGCTACAAACTCTAACAAACATCCATCCATCTAAACTTTCGTATTTATAATATTAGTATGATATTTATCGTCAAGACTTGTATTTCTATACAAAATATTTTCGTATTTACTCCTTGGTCAGTGATTTTAAATATTTTTATGTGATTACTTTTTAAATATGAAATACATTACATAGAAGAGTTGCAGTATATTTATTTGATACTAGCTTTCGCCCGCGACTCCATCCGCGTGGAATTAAAAAAAACGAAAGTAGCCTATGTGTTCTTCCAGACTATCTACGTCTATGCTAAATTTCATAGAGATCCGTTCAGACGTGTAGACTACAGACTCTAACAAACATCCATCTATCCATCCATCCATCTAAACTTTCGCATTTATAATATCAATAAGATTATTTTATAGATCATGGTAAAGATATTTGTAAAGTATGGTTTTCCTGTCATATTACTCTTACTTTCAACGTTAAAAGAAATGATTAACTCGCTTCAAGGGAAAGTGCTTCCTCGTGCAATGTACTGTCATTATGCTTGCATTACCTCCGCAGTCGATGATCCCGCATTACAACGCTAATGCAGGCAACACACGTTAGGATTTACAGAATTCTTTTAGCTTTACAGTACCTATATGCAACTGCACATGGGAGACAGAACTACAGTATGTGTATCTCGCTTATGTTGGCTATACTTGTAATGAAGCTATCGTGTGTGGTCTACATTATTTAGACGTAATCGTGTGTCAGCTTGGAGATTGTTTTTCCAAGCTTTTCACTTATAAATGAAAGTTACTTTGTGTTAACGATGACTTCTCTTTTTGACTAATGAATTGATGGTTTTCATTTATTAATAATTAATCTTCCCATTCCTTCGACCTTTTAATAAAGATAATAAGGCGTTATTTATGTTCTAGGAACTAGTCAATTTTAAACATCCTTCCCTAGTAATAAACTTTTAAAGGCGATAACGATCGTTTGTTCAAATCAGATAATGATAATTGTTAGTACTCTATCTAAATACAAGATCTAAGATCCTGCTTTCACAAACAGTAACCGCGACATAGTGATCAGTCAACAGATCGATATCGATTGCGTATATCTAAATCGGCGATCAAACGGCGACAAATCCTCGCTTATTGCGTTGTGAATATGATATGCAGGGTGGGCACGGATTGAGTACACGATTATAAAACTATTCAAACTTTGTGGCAGCTCGTGCACTATGAGACAGAATTTAAAAAAATCTCACGTAGTTAAACTTGTTCTCTCGTATTCTGTATGTCCCTCCACCGAATCTCTTTATATTCTAACGAGCTGTCGCCCGCAAACGTCATTAGCGCAAATTTGGACCACCCGTCATGCAATTTAAACACCTTACCAGCGACTTAGAATTAACTTATCGCCAGCTTAACTCAAACAGTTATTTACTGCTGTAAAAAATCTCCGAATTATTACTTATATTGCTGCATATTTAGAGAGATTTTAAATACAGTATTCTTATTTTAACTTACGTTTTCATCTCTAACCACAATTAAATCTTTTTTCTTTTATTTAATGTACATATAATTAATAGTGTTTAATTAAATTATATTTATGTATATTAGAGGTTTAGCCACATTTTAGAAGCAGAAATAATTTATCGAAGCCCGAGCATTCATTTTAAACCCAAATAAGAGTAAACAACACATAAACACGAAGTGGTTTTTATTTACTTTGAGCCGGTTTGCAAATTCAAATGCGTAGCTCATGTGAGTTAACCTCTAATTCCCGCCAACTTGATTTTGGTTCGGTATTTTTTTTCATGAATTCCTCCGCATTAGTTTGTTTTACTTACTGCGTTGGCGCAGCGACCCAATGTGGGTCTTGGCCTTGTACGCGCTTTTAGACATAGTTATACTAATTAGTGGGGACGTAGTATTTTAAATTGTAATTTTAATGTTTTGTCGTATTTAATTTTAGTAAGATATACAGAAATGTTTTATCTCTATTACCAAGAATAAAATCAAATCAATCCTTTTGTGTTCAATCAAAATCGACAATACAAAGATTTAATTTAGTTATCTTTCGCAATCAGTTCCTAGACCTTGTGATTTTTTTTGTCTACCGCCTGCGTGGATTGTCAGACAGTCATAAAAGGCGTGCTTAGAATTCATTGTCATCATACGGCTGAATACTGAAACGTAACTTAAACACTTCATAATCGCGGCTTAAAATACGATAACGTCCATTTTTAATGGATTTTAAGTGCGGTTTTGTTTACGTTCAGTTTTATCATTTAAGACGCTGTCAAATATTGAAATGTCGTTTCAGTATTCATTCGATAGTGAACAATACAATCAAAATCTAATTAAAGTAGGGCGCGCCCAATCCGTAACAATTATATTTAAACAGAAATGTTTTATCACCAGCATTCCTGCTGACTAAACAATTACAATTGTACCGATTATAGTCTGTGAGATACCTAATAAATCTAAAACTACCCTATTTCTTAACTCCATATTTAGACAAAATTGTTTCCTTGGTGAATTATTTCGTTCGTTTCCGTTAAATGTATTTGAGGAGACCCACATAAAGAGGGATATATCCCCTTCCTATGCGTCTCCTGTACCATCAAATCCACGTTCCCTTCCCATCCTTCTCTATTAAGAAAAAGGGTGGGAAGGAGAAGGAACTAAAGTTGGGCCTCCGGCACCACACTCATCAGACGCGGAATTGCTTCCACTTTACGCCTGTCTTCTGTGTGATCGTGGTATTACATCGGGCGAACCGACCCATTCGTGCGAAGATGTTAAAGTCGGGCTCTACCACTGTTAGATATTTAAGAACTGAGATTCCTACACTTGCACAACACTAAAGGTGTAGCTTCTATAAGTACAACTTGCTTTCTCTAAGAGACACTTCGTTTAATAACCTATCTCTAGTAATCTATTTAAGATTTTAATTCTTCAAGGAAACGACTGTCAGAGTTGACAGACTGTTCTTATGGCTATTATCATTTCCAATCTAAAAAGTACCTAAATCACTTTAGTTTAAAGACTAATTTAGTTGTTAATTAATGTCAATAGTGTTTGATAAAGGTAATTAGGCGGTTGCAAACATCGAGCTCATTTCCGTGCCCTCTGGCAGGACTTTCACTAACCACGCCCTCGGACGAAAGCTATTTCTAGACATCCTATGCACAGATAACCTACATTACAGAGATATAATGTTATTTATGTTTTCAGTATGCTTGCATAAATCATTTGTACAGAGCATAAATTGTTGCTCTCTCTGAGTTAACTTCTATTGAGATTTAGGTTTTTGCGGCGAAACAAAACACTACTTTTGTCCAAATCTTACTAATATTATAAAAGCGAAAGTATAGATGGATGGATGGATGTTTGTTAGAGTTTGTAGCCTAAACGGTTGAACAGATCTCGATGAAATTCGGCATAGATGTAGAGGATAGTCTGGAAGAACACATCACTTTTGTTTTTTTTTTAATTCCACGCGGACGGAGTCGCGGGCGAAAGCTAGTAATAAGAATAAAAGTCAATAAACTAACCAAGATAGGAATCGCAGATAGAAATATTCTAAGATAAAGATTATGTTGATATTTTCTAATAAATACGACGGCATTTGACATGCAAATATTTTGCATTAATTACAGAAAAATAGAACTATCTCCGAGATGATGTTTTAAGAAACCTATCTACACTGTGATCGTAATCTATCTTCCATTACATAGTATAGTTACACGTGACATTCCGACTTATTGCGCACAGCATTGTTGTACTTTACTTCCTATTGGCCTGCTGAAGCGATACTACGGAACTTGTTTAGTCTGTCGGATAACTTTATAATAAGTAGAAAAACTTGAAATTGAACAGCGAAAGTTAACAAAAAAAGGAAACTAATGTTGTCAGGTTGAATTTAGACCTAGGTCTATACTTGTGTGGTTTTAAATAGGAAGACCTGGTAATTATTAAGCCAATTACAGCTATCAGCGATTCCGGCTAATTGACTACAAGCTATTGTGTCGAATGCGGACACTTTGCATAACACAGGCCATTGTCCGCGATATAAACAGATTCATTTGTACACTATGAAAATGAATCATTAAAGTTTCGTAAAAGATTGTCCAAAAACTTTAATGAACCAAAAAATAGTTAATGTTCATTTACACTATAAGGTTATACTATCAAACCTCTAACTGAGGTATTTAGCATTGAATTAGTCAAAATACCGTAGTAATTGTTATCTCTGGAGTTTAATCGAGTTGTGTTGCGTGCGGTCGGCCAGCCGCGCCCGCAATTAAATCACTTATCCATCGCTTTAAACTACGAGGAAATGCTGTTTATCACGTTTAATTTCATAGTCTTGTGTTCGTATACTGTTCTTAGGCTCATTTAAATTATTTCTGCCGTTACTCATTCTGTTATTAAGAAGAAATATAATTTAAATCAAAACTAAAACTTTTTATTGTAAAGATGAATATTAAAATATATTATCTATGGTAATCATTTACAATGACATTGTCAAATTGTTTTTCTGATAAATTTGACATACTGTATTTTCTTACTTTTACCTTTATATTTTTATCGAATTTATTATTTGTAAATGAATTTGTAAAACGTATACAATGTCTAAAGTAAATAAAGAGCTATCACATATGATATTGAAACATGACGACGATTCCTCCGTAGAGGTGCCTGTTAGCGACTGGTCTTCTATGATCAATGAAGGTCCCGGAGAAAACCCCAAATATGCCTTATACGCTAAGGGCTTATACCGACCTGACAGCGGCGAGATATGCGCCAAACATATCGCTATGTCTGCAAGCTCTATACTCATACATCCTTATTACCATTACCCGGCTATTCCTGATCCAGGAATTAAAGCAGCTATATTAGAACCAGAAGAGAAAGTTACGTATACAGATGACGGACAAGCCAAATATTTAGCCGCTTGCAAAGACATGAATCAGTACGTAGTTGAAACTTTCTATAAAGGACTATTAAAGGATAAAATAGATCTAAAGTATTATTGTGTTGATCCTTATGGTGTAAAAGCTATGGCGATGGCTCTACGAAATAATCGAAATGTCACATGCATAGATTTCACCGATAATTTTCTCAACGATGACGCTTGTTTTCATTTGGGTGAAATGTTAGTAACAAATTTAGTAATGCGAGAATTAAATTTGACTGGTTGTAGAATAGGAGCAAGTGGTGTGAAACGTTTGATGGCCAATTTGCCAACGAATCGCTCTCTTCGATATTTAAATCTTAGCAAAAATAGATTAGGCGATGAAGGCGTAAAGTACATTCTAGATGGTTTTATACGTGGGCTCGAATTGCCGCGTCTGATTTTAAGATACAACGATCTAACCGGTGTAGCTGCTAACTACTTGAACGAAGCATTAGAAACGTATGATCAATTTACACAACTGGACCTTTCCTGGAATAAGTTCTCCCTTATCCCTTACAACACATTTCATATGCTGCTTCAGTTGAGTAATTGTGATAATCTCGAAGATTTGAATTTATCATGGAATGCACTTTCTGGTCCTCGCATTGGATCCGCAATTAAAGCAGTTATGTCAGCTAGGAAACTTAAAAAATTGGATATCAGCAACAATAGATTCGCTGACGACGCTATAGATGATATTGCAGATGGTATGTGGACCGCGAAAAAGTTGATAACTCTCGATGTATCGTATAACCCTATGTCAGTAAATGACGCTTTAAAATTCATTGGAAAGATGAAATTCGGAAAGGTTAAAGTACAAAATCTTTTAATGGAAAATGTAATAGTTGATTCAAATTTCCTGCAGCAATTACGTCACGTTAAAAAAATTAAGAAGAAAGTTATTGTCACACATGGAGACGTCGTTGAAAGTACTAAGCCGCGAGATCCTGATATGAGAGAGATTGTGTTAAATAGAGCTGATTTCTTGACGAAAAAACAAAAGAAGGTACAAACAGATATAGCTCTTTTAGCACAGCAGCTTGTTAAAGATAGTCGGACGAAAATGAACTCTAAAGCATTCCTTGAAGTTGTAGAAGCATCTGGGTTACCTTTAAATGATGACCTTGTAAATGAGATCATAAACGCCTTCCCCGGACCGAAATCCGGAAAAGGTAGAAGCATTGATGTTAGTTTGTTAGTTGATTTTGCGAAAAGAAAATGGCCAGATCGTAAGCTACCTCCCACACCACCTCCGGAAATTGTTGAACCCGTTGTTGAACCTGAGCCAGAGCCACCACCACCACCAAAAGGTAAAGCAGCTAAAGGTGGCAAGAAAAAGAAATAAGTTTTTATGTGTATTTTACATAAATTTATTTTTAGATATGTATATTAATATTTTCAATTCTTTCATACGATTTTTATTTAATTTTGATATTCATGATAGTAATTAATAAAAGTTTTAAATACTTTTGACTTTTATTTAATACTGAAAATGACTATTAATTAAAACACACGCTGCTTTCGTTCTTGTGTTAGCTGTTACTTTTAGATTTGCCTAAATATGTTGACTGGGTAGGTAAATACAGTACAGGACATTACCTTTTGGGAGTCGACCCAGCACATAACTCTGTTCACATTTTACCTCTTTGCTTATCTTATAAAAATCAAAGAAGTAAAGAAATGTCAAACAGAGGATTTACTTATTGTCATTATTAATGACAAACAAATAGCTTTAGATAAGAATTTACACAATAAAAAATCATATTTAATATATAAAATGAGTTCAGATACAAACGTCGAGGTTGTATTTGAGAAGGATAAGCAGGAAGAGACAGAAGTTGAAGAAATATCTGTATCTTCTGAGGAACCTCCTATGGAAGAATGGTCTTCGCTCATTATTGAACAACCCGAGGAAAACATCAAAAGAATTAACTACACAAAAGGTCTGTATGACCCTGGCAGCGGTGAAATATGTACAAACTATATTACTATGTCTTCAAGTTCCGTTCTGCGACATCCGTATTATAATTATCCAGCGATTTTAGATTTAGGTGTCAAAGAAGCACTTTTAAATCCTGAACCATTGATTATTTATCCAGAAGATGGTCAGGATTTATACTTATCGTTGTGCAAAGAATCAGGATTGACACCAATATCTAGTTTCCATCGGCAATTATTGGAAAATGAAATTAATTTGCGATATTACGGAATACAACAAAAAGCTTTCAGGGCGATAGCATTGTCTTTAAATTCGAACATGTTTGTAAACATTTTGGATTTAACCGATAATTGGATCGATAAAGATGGATGCTTTCATTTAGGTGAAATGTTGGCAGAAAATGGCACTTTAACTGTATTAAATTTGTGTGGCTGTAGGATCGGACCTGAAGGAGCTAAACGACTGTTTATCAATTTACCAAAGAATAAAACTTTACAAGAATTGATTCTAAGCAGGAATCAACTTTACGACGAAGGTGTTGAACATCTAGCTTTGGCTATAAAACGTGGAACAGCTGTATGTAAAATAAATTTAAGTTATAATAGCTTATCTGATCAGGCCGTTTTACATATCGGTGGTGCTTTAGAAGTAAACAATAAATTAACTCACCTTAATTTATCATGGAATATGCTTAAGTCTCCCAACGCTATATTCGATTTATGCTGTAAGTTAGAGGGAAATGAGAATTTTTTGGATCTAGACCTATCTTGGAATACTTACGCCGGTCAAAAAGTCGGTATTTCTTTAGGCATACTTCTAAATAATCCCAATTTCTTGTACCTTAATTTAAGTAATAACAAATTAAATACTCAAGTAGTTAATATTTTAGTAAAAACTTTAAGAGAAAAGTCACGTCTTCTTTCTTTAGATATGTCATGTAATCCCCTAACGTCTACCGATGCGTACCACTTATTATCAACCATGTTGAAGTCCAAAGTTAAACTACAAAAGCTTAAACTGGATAACATACTGGTAACAACGCAGTTTCTAACTCTTCGGGACAGAGTTCTAAAATTAAAATTTCGTAAAGACGCTGAAATCACGTACGGAGACGTTTATACAAAACCTGTTCATAAGAATATTGATCTTAGAGACTTAGTATTGAACAGGATAGACTATCTTTGCAGAACGAAATTCAAAAAACATCACGTTGATATAGCGTTGATAGTAATGGAGTTGTACAAATTAGACAAAGAGCCAATGCCTACGAAACCATTTCTAAAAGAACTGAAAGATCGCGGTTTACCCTTGGAAGAAGATTTAGCGAATCAGTTCACAAGTTTGTTCGCGGGGCCTTTTAGAAATAAATCAACGACTGTAAACATGGCGGCCATGATAGATTTCTTCAAACGCAAGTGGCCGGATCGAAAACTGCCACCCACACCTCCGCCCTCGCCCCCGCCAGAACCACCACCACCACCCCCACCACCAAAAAAAGGTGGAAAGAAACCTCCAAAGAAACAGAAATAGTGTAATTGAAAATGATATTTTTATAGCGGATATTGTAGTAGTTTCTAGCGTTATTTATTTGTTAATTATTAATTTTAACTTTGTAGCTGTTGTATTAAAAATACCACTTTGTTTATTTGTGTCATTTATATTCACAGATTGCTAAATAAAAGTTCTTATTACTCTAACGAAGGGATATATTACTGCAATTAAATATCATTAGACTTTTCATTTGGTGGGGTCGGCACAAGATGTACTACTTTTCTATACATCTCAGTCATTTGTTAAATGTGAAACAAGTTAAAATTACATAAAATTATTCTATTATAATTATTACTACATACACTTGTGTAGTTATTGTGTAGTGATTTTATTGTTTCATATTTTTGTTATTGTTATTAAGAGCAATTGAAACTACTTATAATCAATCTTTCAGAAACATTTCTAAAGAAGAATTTATTACTTTTCATGCAGTTGTCAAAATTATTGACAAAGAAATTGTCTTTAAGATTTTCGGTACAAGTCTCATTTTATACGTAAAATGAGTTCCGAGATAGACTTGGAGAATTTCTTCGAGAAGCAAAATGAGGAAGAGGAGACGGTAACGCCAGAAGAATCCATATCTTCTGAAGAACCTCCTATGGAAGAGTGGTCTTCGCTCATTATTGAACAACCCGAGGAAAACATCAAGATTCTAAATTATACAAAAGGTCTATACGACCCTGGCAGCGGGGAAATATGTACAAATTATATAACTATGTCTTCAAGTTCAATTTTTCGACATCCATACTATAATTATCCAGCTATCGTAGATCCAGGTGTTAAAGAAGCTCTTTTAGATCCTGAACCATTGATTATTTATCCAGAAGATGGTCAGGATTTGTACTTATCATTGTGCAATGAATTTGGACTGACACCGATATCAAGTTTTCATCGACAATTATTGGAAAATGAAATTAATTTGCGATATTACGGAATACAACAAAAAGCTTTCAGGGCGATAGCATTGTCTCTGAATTCGAACATGTTTGTAAACATTTTGGATTTAACCGATAATTGGATCGAGAAAGATGGATGCTTTCATTTAGGTGAAATGTTGGCGGAAAATAGCACTTTAACTGTGTTAAACTTGTGTGGCTGTAGGATCGGACCTGAAGGAGCTAAACGGTTGTTAAAATACTTACCTAAGAATGGAACACTACGCGAACTGAATCTGAGCAAGAATCAACTTTATGACGAGGGAGTTGAATATCTAAGTCAGATAATAATACGAGGATCAACTGTATGTAACATAAATTTAAGCCATAATAACTTAACGGATAAGTCGATTGTTCATCTCTTTGAAGCCTTTGATATAAACAATAAACTAACCCATCTTAATTTGTCATGGAATATGCTCAAGTCTCCTGACCCTATTTTTGATTTATGTTCCAAGTTGCAGGAAAATGAGAATTTTTTAGATCTTGACCTCTGTTGGAATGATTATGGCGGTAAACGTGTCGCAAAATCTATTAGTGTACTTCTAAAAAATCCTAGTTTCTCTTACCTTAATCTAAGCAATAACCACTTTGATAGTCAAGTAGTCAATATTATAGCAAGAGCTTTAAGAGTAAAGTCACGTCTGATTTCATTAGACATGTCATCCAATCCTTTGACATCTACCGATGCGTACAATTTATTGGAACCTATGTTAAGGCCAAGAGTTAAGCTACAAAAGCTTATTCTAGATAACATAGTGGTGACGTCAGAGTTTCTAACACTTCGAGAAGAAGTTCTCGCAAAGAAATTTCGGAAGAACGCTGAAATCACATATGGTGATGTCATCAGAGAAACTGTACATAAGACTGTGGATATGCGAGATACGGTGCTCAATCGGATAGACTATCTTTGCAGAACAAAGTTTAAGAAAGAACATGTTGATATTGCGCTTTTAGTACTGACGCTGTACAAATTGGACCCGAAGCCAATGGATACGAGACCGTTTCTGAGAGCACTGAGAGATTTCGGATTACCCTTAGAAGATGATTTGGCTAATCAATTAACAAGATTATTTGCTGGTCCGATGAGACCTAAAACAACGACTGTAAACTTAGCGGCGATGGTAGATTTCTTCAAGCGGAAGTGGCCGGACCGGAAGCTCCCTCCTACGCCGCCGCCCTCGCCCCCACCTGAACCTGTCAAGAAAGGTCGTAAAAAGGGTTTAAAGAAAAAGAAATAGATTAAGTGATGTCATAAGTTTTAACTTTCATTATAGTAGCTTTATTTATACGTTCAAACTATTCACTAAATACATTAAAATTCCATTATTATTGTTATTGTTTTATTTTTTAACATTTTGAATATACAAACATGAAGTCTACACGTCTTCACTTAAATGATTATAAAGAAACAAATCATCATCTATCATCACAATTCAGTAACTATTTTAATATCATAGATAATAATAATTAATTAAAAATGAACCGTTCTTGTATTTTGCTATGATTTAGCATCTAAACATTAAATTTTTAAAATAACGGTTTTCGTATACGCGGCTGGCGCGGCTCGGCCTGCAGTGGCGTGCCTCACGCGACCGCGCTCGCTTCTTTATTATTATTTATTGCTTTCCAATAATCTTCGGCTAGATATCGCGCCGGCCGCGCCGCAGCAAGCGTTCCCACATGTTATTATGTAAATACAAGCGATGAAATCCCGTCCGGTGACATGTAGGAAGCCGATCACGATTACTATATGATTATTGTTTATTTTTATTACTAAGGTTCCACTTCACACTTGAGCCATAAACATTTTAAAAAATTTAAGAGAGTAATAAATATGAATTAAATATTTTAATGGGCTCTTGGAGTATAATGTTTAGTTCCGCTAGTAATTTATGTTTTAAAATTGAAAATCTTTAGATACGATCAGACATGTGTAAGGTTTCTGTTTCATATTAATACAGGTGTGTTAATAAGATTAAAAAGCATACCTCAAATTAAACGATTTAGTAATGTTTTTTATTTTTCTTGTTTCAGGTATGTACTCGTTTCTTTGGGCCGCAAACGCATCTACGTGATTTTCAATTGTTTCATTATTCTTTTAATCAAGGTAAAAAGAAACAACGTGTCACTTAAATTATGTTTCTGAATTTATTTCATTTAATTAAATTAAGCATGCTGAGAGTTACTGTAAAGTAATTCGTGATTTATGTAGTTTTGTAAATTACCGGATGTCGGATTCTTTATAGCAATCTTGTTTGCTGACGAAATCGCGTAGGAATGATGTTAATGTTGGCATTATTTTTTTTAGGCACTATCGAGAGTGTCCGAATTCGCGGAGTGCCCGGGGCAAAATTTTATTTAGTGAATAGAAAGTATTCGGAAAGCTGTCGGCGCCGCGTGGGCGTTCTTTGATTAGGAATTCGTACGTCGTTCGTCCGACGTACGGACGGCAGTATTTACACTTTTACTTTTCATATATATTTTCTCTAGTATCTATGTATATAGTGTTGGTACTTTTATAGCTTAAAGGTGATATGAAAACATAAGCTATATAAATATCTTCAGACTATTGGTAGTCTTTTGCACATAATTTTTTATAACCTCACATTTTGTAGACACTGATCATATTAATATTATAAATGCGAAAGTTTAGATGGATGGATTTTTGATAGAGTTTTTAGCCTAAACTGCTGAAAGGATTTCGATGACATTTGGTACAGACGTAGAGGATAGTCTGGAAGAACACATAGGCTATACTCCCTTTTTATTTAATTCCGCGTAAAAGTCGCGGACAAAAGCTAGTTCACTATATTAGTTTGTTTACAATAAAAAATATAGAACAATGCGTCTGTTTTCCATACTTACCAAAGATGTGTCTCAGAAGTGCATTGGGGAGCTTTTATTCCGTGTATATTTATTAATCACACTAAGATAACCTCCCAGTGAAAATTTAACAATTCTTGCGTAAGAAATTCCATTAATTTAAACGTGTAAAAAGACAAACGCGTCCCGACGTTTGTATGTTATTAACGTCCATTCATTTTAACAAAACACTTGCTTTATTTTCATTTCTCTGAAATTGAAAGTCCGCGTCGGCCGCGATAATTTCATATGCCGTAACTCAATGTGGAATAAGATCGGCTCGGCTTGGCGAGTATTACAACATTCATACTTTATAGCAGCTCTGTTTCAGCTGATAACGCTTGTTATTGCTGTTGAGCACCAGAATGACCCACTGTTTTATGAAAGCTTTCTTAAGACAATTCTACTCTGGTTCCGGGGCACATGCCCTGCCTTACAAGGAACGTAATACTTCCTGTGCATTTTGTAGTATCTCTTGTAATAGCGAGCCTTCATACAGTTTTGATAGCATTTTACTCAAGCTCCGATTTACAATCAAAAGGTATAGCAAAAGCGACGGCTCGGCAATTTGTGGAAAAGCCTGAGGGGTTATTTTCTTTTTTGATATTGTGAAATATTAATTTTCATATTTTATTTTATAAAGCAATTGATAATAAATATTCATAGTTGTAATTAATAAATAAACATATGTTAAAGGACATAAGTATGCAAAACTTTAAATTAGTTAATACTTGACTAAGTAGGTTGGTAATGTAGAAGCTATTCGACCTGAGCACTAATTAATTGAATATTTTAACCGAATTGTGAAATATACCTGGCCCTGCCCAAATCCGTCATCGCCAAAAATAGAGGAGAAAGTTGATTTTATATATTCACTAAAAGAATTTATTACTAATTAATTATAACTTACTGGTTTTTAAGTAACCAATCATTCAGAGCAAAACCTACGTATTTAGTCGGCATGTAAACTTTACGTGTGTATTTCTGTTTACTGCGCATCCCTAACTAGGACACCTGTTGAGAAGTCGGCGGCTGACCTTTGAGAGTCCCCCCCACTTGCCCCACCTGCCCCCTCCTCCGCCAACCTCTCCGCGTCGACTTACTGACAAAAGTAAAAGTTGGACGCGTACTATTGACGGCAGATCGTAACTAGTCTTTTTCATTACTTCTTTCGTTAAATTTTATATTGATATTTCTGATAAATTATGCTGGGTTTCTGAAGCTTCATTTATTTTATCGTTACCTAGTGATTCTTACTATTAAGTTGACCTAAGTTTCAATGGAGTAAAACTCA